TTTAGTGTGATGAGTCGTAGTAGCTCGTGTGATGTGTGATTGAGCGATACCCATGCTAATATCCACGGCGCAAGATCACCCAATCGGATATCCAGTTCTTCCAGGATTTAAACACTAAGTCCCAGTAATTGAACCCCATATCTTGTACAACATAGACTTCCGATGAGGTTTACAGATCTGACTGATAATCGAGATTACCCTTGCATATCGCCCTGATACTACGGAGTACTCCGTATCATAGATGCTAAGCCAACAGGGATGAGAGTACCACATTACAGGCAAACTTAGCAGATACCCATGTTTTTCTAATGATCAAATCTAAACTCAGGGGTAGATTATACGAATATCCGAATAAATCGATAGGTCAGGCTAGGCACCCGTGTGCTGATTGAAAAGCCGTTGGCAGTATGGAGTAGTGTTAGTGGCGCTATACTAGTGATGGGATTAACTGGGCACATTCCCCGGATGGGATGGAGTACACAGTAACTCCGTAAGAGCGACAAAATCGCAAGATTGTGATAGCCCTGTGGAAATTAGGAGAGCCCCATCACAAAAACATTGAGTGGGACAAGGATTCCTTTGTTTCCTCTTCCTGGGCTTGCCCCTAGTTCATTGCGGATACGGAACACAGTAAGTAGTATACTCCGTAAAGATCGGCATTGAGCCTTTTAGGCAGTCTAGTCGAGCTTGGGCGCTTCCTCTTTTTTCTTTCCCCCTTCTTTTTTTAGTTTAGGGTCATAGCTCCATGAAAATCATAAGGATCTGCAAAATTGAGAGTCACAGCAATATTGTGCCGAGACAGCTTTTCCATCAGCTATATTGACCTACGGAGTACTCCGTAGGACAATGTACCTTTTTTTTTTTTTTTTTTGCTTTGCTCAATACGATCATCACCTCTTTCGGGACAAATAGGAAGTCACCGATAGTGTGCTAAGTCCCAACGCCTCAACTCCAGCACCGCGGAGAGCCTATCATCCTGGATAATATGACTAGATTTTCGGGCCCACTTGTTAAAAAAAAAAAGTCTCAGGGGCAAGGATCAAACCGGCCGGTCCGGAGTACCTAAACGTTCCTATATTGGACATCAATTTGGATGTAGTTTATGATCACGGACCATTTTCCAGATAGGCGAACAGACGCGATGTCTCCGGCGCGGCTGCACCGGAGGCACAATTCCAAATGGTCGAGTCGTGTCCTTTGTCTCCACTTAATGCGACTAGCTTCAAGAAGCAGTGGAGATAGCGGGGTGAAATTGAGGATCTTTGGACAATAATGTGATTATTTGTTGTTCAAAGGGCAATTGAACGTACGAGAATGGATTGCCACTATATTTTTTTTCCCGTGATAGTGTGACTGAGCAAGGATTAATATATTGCAGGAAGAGGTCAGGGCTGGGGATCTGAGACATACCCTATGATACCTGGGAGATCCTTTGGATGCGCGCTTTTTTTTCCGGGATTTGCAAATTTGGAGAAGAGAAGAGTAATGGCGTTCATAAGAGCACTAAGAGAGTTAGAGTTGTTTCACTTCCTTCAAAGATCGACTGAATGTCGAAGATGCCTACTGATTTTAGCGTGTGATTCGGCGTTCTTAAGGTGGAGCGCGGCAAGAGTCGAGATCCAACGGGCCTCGGGGAGACGGAGAGGGGGGGAGAAGGGGGGGGTAGTTGTTGAGTCGGAGGACTTCCCTTGAACTTCCCTTGGACTTCCTGTGGATTTCCTGTGGATTTCTCTTCTTTGGAAGTGGAAATAAGTGCAATTTCCACGCAGAACAATGTCCTTTTGCTCTCCGAGTCGCTGTTGGTCTAAAATCAACCTGCATTCATAACCATTCAGACATATATGTAATGCTGTACTTGCCAAAAGTCTCTGATCTTCAATCTAATCCCTGTTTTGATGACCATGTCGATAAGTGCGGTGATATTGGATGCTAGTACTCCGTACTCCATACATAACCGACATTCCTGTTACCCGCGCGCCAGCCCATGCGGTTGCATGCAAATGATATCACATTCAAAATGGCACATGTGTACTCCGTATGGGGTAAGGTATATCAAGATATAGCCAAATAAAATGAATTGAAACGATGCAAGAAAAAAAAGAAAAGCAAAATAACCACCTGCAATACAGTAATTCAAAATTCCAACCAAAATGCATCGTATAATAATCCAACAACGCCAAGGAAATGAGACTTCATGCTATGCGAAAGATGCGAATCCTAATAGGAATCACATCCCATGAAGCCCTGTAAATAAAAGCAAATAAGAGCAAAATCAACGTGGCTCTGACCAGCAGATCCCGTAATGGCAAAACCATGCAATCCGTAAAAATAATAGCCAAAGTGGAAGATATCCCCCTCCGATATTGATTTAGACATGCAGAATGAAATCAACTGCCTATATCATTAGCTAACTGAGCGGCGGTTGTTCGACACTCGTTGGCGCTGCCTGGGCACAAGCGAAGATGGCTCAGCGTGGCTGGTAGACCTCGCATCGTTGCGCTGCTTCTCTACACAATCATGTCTATTTGCTTATATCAGTACACAAGTACACATTCAACGAGAATAAATATTCTGGGACCTTACCTAGCCAGACTATCCTGGCGACTGAAACCCCGGTCGCAAGAGTGACAGATGTACCTCCGAAGCCCGAGATGCACCTAAAGGTCCCATTAGTGGCTGCTTCTTGTCCCCTTTTGGTCTCCATACTCACGGTATTCATGTGTCTTTTGAGATCTGAGCTTCGTCCAAATGTCTTGTGGCAGTCTTCGCATGGATGGTTGTTCTTCCATTCAGGGTTGTGCATCTTTTGGTGCTCCCTACAGTTGGAGCGTCGGGTGAATTTGGAGCCACAAATTGGACATTCCAGGCCACTGGCAGATACCAGCCTCTCGTTTGAGGGGCCGCGCTCTCTTGTGTTCGAGTTTGTGGCACTATCGGTTCCTTCGGATGCCTGAGGTTGCGGCACGACGTGCCCGGTGTTGATGCTGTGTCCAGGGGATCTGTATCCAATATCCTCTCCCATCGCTCCAAGGTAGGAAATATTGTTGACTGGCAATAGGGGCATCGTCGAGGTGATGCACGCGTCTGGAAACACACTCTGGTCCCATTGTCCTGTGGCTGCGTTCGCTACAGTGACCGGAGTGACATCCGAGGGCGTTGTCGGTCCCGAGCAAGGCGTGTGCATCCAAATATCGGCCATTTGGGCTGGGAAGACGTTCTGGCCAGGGACAACCTCCATGGTAGAGTTGTAACTGGGGGATGCGCTCATCACCGGGGGGCTGTAGAATCCTAGTGAAGTCTCCGAAGCACTGTTGACAAGTCCGCTGTAAACTGGTGGATAGCATGATCCGCTAGAATAGTCATCATAGGATAATTCAAAGGTGGGATTTGGCGCTCCAGGGACTAGTTGTGATGGTAGTATAGGCGTGGGAGGGAAGACCCTCAGTTGACCGAATGCATTCTCGATTTCGCAGCGGGAGATGCCCAGACCAATAGGGGAAACCCCTCCCTGGGACGAGGTAGAAATGGGAGACGAGTATGCCGAAGAAGTTTCGCGAGATCGTATATCCTCTCTCCGCGGGGATGTGAGTGAGGGATGAACTAGATTCTGATTCATGGTGTAGAGAAATCCAATAAAAGAATAAGAAGTGTATTGCCATCAAACCAACCAAAGGGCTAGTCTATATCAGAGTCAACAAAGAGTGGTGATGGACCCAAGTATATATAGTAAAGGCTTTCGAGTCAACAGCTTCGCTGTTGGTGATTGACAGCGGCAGCATACATCGGTGGCTGAGAGGAATGTAGTGGATAGGGTATGAATTCATTGGAGAAGAACTTGCGCCGCATCGACACCGACAGATGCTGAATATTCAACGACTTGACGCCGTAATAGACAAGGCAGATTCGGAGAAGAAAGGGTCTGTAATTGCGGTGGAAGAGAAAATCGGGTGGGGGGCATTAAGGGCCGGGGGGGTCAAGGGTAATCCGGACGAGAGATCGATGACAGTCCAGGTCTAGCATATTTGCACAGATCCAGTATATACTATGCCCATAACCATCTAGGGCAAATCATTACATTTTCAGCCTAGTTTCGGGCACATTTTAGAGATCGTAATAACCCTGTAAAGAACCTGCTACATAGGAAGATTATGACGATGCATAACGGCGGCTGTTGGGTTTGTCTGGAAAAGGCTAACCATCCCTTTCACCACCGTTGGGCTGGTCTGCCCAACCGAGACGTGTTCCATGCAGGTAGTAGCCATACAGAAACATCAGGAAAGCCCGAGTCTCTGGATCGGCTTGGCGAGGTGCATTGGTGTGTCGAGGGCCTGTTGACCATGAGCACAGCCCGCATATTGCTGAGACGGTGGGTAATGTATTTTTTTTTTCTGACGAAACTCAGAATAGGAGAAGTTTATTAACTCACAAACACGACTAATTATCGTGACCTCAGTGGTATGCGGGCCAGCCCTTCCGAACCGTTCGATCCCCTTGACTTCATGTATACCATAGCGCGGAAACTCCACATCGACTCCACAGGTAATTGACGCGCCCCCGGACAAACTGTAGCTATCTATATGATATATCTGAATTCAACTTCACCATGATCTATTTACTCGTTTTCGCCTCTTGTGGATCGAACATGAAATTGATTGGAAAGGAGAACCAATCTTGAAACGCCAGGGACAGGGGGGAGGGGGGAAAGCCAAAAAAAAGAAAGGAAAATTGGAGGAAATGAAAAAAAGGGAACGCCGAAAAAGACCACCAAGCCTGTTTCGATTAGGCTGTTCATCGATATGGTTGTTCAGAATATCGAACGGTTTTTTGTTGTCAGGGTGTGGCTCGACGACTAGCGCCGAGTCCGGTCCTGCAGGGGGCGTGCGTGGCCCTAAGCGCCAGGGAAGTGACCCCTCTACCGCGCCTTTTGAACTCACATCAACTCCACAATCACAAGCCAAATCACAAAATACATGATAATTTGTGAATTTGGGTTGGAATTGTCACTTTTGTTGGGCAATGGCATCCACTTGAGTTCGTAGTCGTTCTATTGTGTCGATCAGGTCCGCAAGCTGCGGTACTTGCCCGAACTGCCCCATGTCTAGCTCACGCGCGGCTTGTTGATCCACACTGGGTGCTTTTCCAGGGCCTAGGCGACTTGTTTCAATTACGGAGGGGTGGTGTGGGTCCTGGCACCGTGGGCCAGTCGGATTTTCAGAAATTCCTTGACGTGCCGATATTGGAGGAAGCAGGCTGTTCTGTCGTTTGGACTGTCGCCATTTAGACTCGTACGCCCATATCAATGCAACAAACGGAAGATGAGTGGCTCGAAGCAAGACAATTCGTACACGGCGAACGGTTCCAGCAGAGAGAAAAAGCCGCATGGGTCGGATACAGAGGAGGGGAATAAGATTCTGCTGAGTATATTAGCTTGGAAATATTCCAGAACATACAAAGAAAGATTCAATCTAGGGATCAGACGCTGACTGACCAGGGGTGGCATGAAGTATGTTAGTCGTCGAGAATTGCTGCTTTCTAGGACGTAAATCGCCAATCTGATTGGCTGGTCAGTCCAAATGGAATTTTCCATGGGGCAGTGCCAAATTTCAGAACAACAGGGATGTTTATGTTTGTATACTGACTGGAAAAGGTATTCTTCTCGAGCATGCCGCATCACCTATGTACAAAAAGGAATTAATCGGCTGCCATGCAACTATAGTAGATGGGTATTTACTTACCCCTTCAAGGCTCATGCTCATCAAACTAATTAAGGATGAGAGAATGAGAGTATTGGTCATGAGGGCGAAAGTAAGCCTGTAAATCATTTCAGTCAGTATCTTTTTGCATACATCTTGTAAAAACCACTGCGTGGAAGTAGTCGTAAATGCTCGTGTGCTAATGACGCTCCCCCCCAAAAAAGACAAAGTCATGCAACTGGACGTCACTTGCATATTGGAACGTGATCAAAAGCACATGCGACTCTTTTTTTTTCTATGCAACCAAATCAAGGGAACTCACATCAAGCCATAGCCGAAGATGGGGGAGATCTAAAAATTAGCGTGTCAGTTCAACTTTACACGATAGCCAACCATTTTGCCAATATTCCGGGATATCATTCGCTGCAGGACAACCGGTGCGCAAGACTTACTTCAGACGCCGTATCCTATCATCCAATCAATTCAGCCACTGTCAGTGCCTGTGCCAAAAAAAAGAAAAAGAAGGAAAACGCACTAGTCCAAGAACACTCGATCTATCTCAAATGGTCAGTTAAAAAAAAGAAAAAGAAAAATAGCGGGCACAGCAGGGATTCTTTCACCGTACCCAAAGAACACTTTCACTAATAAATGTGACATAGTGCTGAGCGACAGGCGGTCACGCGCAAGCATAGTAAAGGTAGTCAAGAACCCTGTGGAAGCAATTCAGTGATTCGGCTCCGACATACTTCACCCATCTAGGGCTGCATTGCTTAGCCACACTTACCAACATACAATACTACCACCACTGGGAAAAACCTGAAGAATGCTTTCGTCTGAAACATATTGTCAATCAGCCTTGGGTCCTAAACCCACTTCCCACTCGGGCAAAAGGGCAAGAAATCGCACCATCTCTTTCAATACTGGTATCTGTTCATAGCCACAATCAGTCAGTCCGTTTCTAGAACAGTGATGGTTCTATGCAGGATTCACTTACTAGACTGCCGAAGTATGAATTCAAGCTCACAAGCGAGCAGATCCTGTTCATTCCGTGTCAGCCCTGTCGCTCAGCTAATTCCACCAATAGCCATACCTTGGTACAAGAAACAGAGCCTCTAGAGATAGGATGTCGAATGAGAGCTCAATAATGGGGTCGTTGCCCTTCGCTAGCCCGATGACCCCTGTGGCGTCCTCATTAGTCGCTCCATTAACACGGATGACCTGCAAACAACGAGCCGCAAGGCAGATTGAGCAGGGAGAGTGACTCACTTGTTATGACAAATGCTATTCCAACGCCAATTATGCTCAGGTTCCAAAGACTCCAGAAATCCATTTGGTAGAAAACGACTCCGGCATCAATGATTCCACTCAATTCATCATATGCAAAAGCGACGATCCATACATACATCACCGCTTCGAAAATGCCCACGGCCTCTTGTCTCCTCTCTACTAGGACTGCGTAGTAGAGAAAGAGGAAGGACATGAAGAATGCTGCTTCAAAGATTTTCCGGTACAGAGGTACTCTCAGGCGTGAGTATGGATCAGACGTTCTGATGGAAGGGAATTGTCAGTATCTCCGTAAGACGAGTGTTGGTCCTGTCTAACCTTCTGTTAAAAATATGAGGTTTCTTGGTTGAATTGACCGTCAGGGAATCCCAGAAAACGATTTCACCATTCCAAATACCATCGACCACCTTTTGAACAACTCGCTGGCTCAGAAATCTCTTCGCATGGGCAATCGTTGCAATCTCAAGTGCATTCAAACCAAAGAATTGGGAGTATCTCTGGGCGGCATAGATTTCCTCACGTGTTTGTGTATCTTGTGAGGTTCCAGATGACTGAGTCTCCGTGGTCCTCTTGCCAAACAGACGATAAAAAGAAGAGTTTGGCAAGAGAGGAGTAGCCTCATTTTGAGTTTGGCTTGTATCACCTCGGATAGATGCCAGGCCAGTATTACCTGCTTCGGGTTCAATGATATTTACCGAACCGCGCCGCGGTGTTGGTAGCTCTTCTAACAGAAACTCAATTGTCTCACGCTGGTTCAGGTGGCACAGGAATTGCCAGGCAACAAATTCGCAGGCTGCACCGCGGCTCTCATTAAGCCCCCAGTCATCCTCAGTGGCAGTGGTGAAATCCCATTTCAGAATCCTGGAGTTGTTAATCGACCAGTCCAGTTCCAGTGTCCTCTTTATGGTGAACTTACATCAACGCTACAATGATGAAGGGATTGTGAGTATCATCTGCTAAAGCATGAACCAATTGTCTAAGACGGTGTCCTTGGGATCCGTACAGCATTTGCTCAAACGAGTAAGCCATATCACCCACGGCCATGCTAATAAAGCTACAGGGGGCTTCGTTAATTCTGCTTAATTGAAAGGCAGCTGAGACTTACTTGAATAGCTTGGGAAGAACATCGAATAACGGTTCATCGGTTTCGATCACCGGAATTTCCGTATGATCCATGTGTGTATCCATCTGGAGTTCTACTTCGATTAGTGGGTCTCCCCCATGGTCACGGCCAGAATCAGTCACATACCGACACTGAACGTCGAATGTTGAAGCTTGAATCCAGGATTTCTTTTCCGATAAATTTAGCTGTTTGTTTTTGTTCTCCTTTTTTTAAACCTAGCCTATCTCCTCTTCGGGGATAGGGCAGAACTGCAGGTATCTAAGACCGAGGTATCGGTGAACGGTCCATGTTGTCCAATCAGTGAGGGGTTCAGTTGGCCACAAATAAAAATGTAACAACGACCTTTATCAATATTTTAAGATAAGAAATAATTAATAATAATATTCAATATGAAACAGGAAGAATTGCGAGAGGAAAAGGTGACGAGTGGAAAGTTGCCAACGACATCTTGCTGACCGCCTTGTGCACGTGTCGACGCGTCCAGTGACTTCATCGGCCTCAACACGACTCTCCTTGTCGCATAGCTCTCTCCAGCCATCTCCATTTAATCTAGTCAATTTCTGGATCTGAATAACCACCATTAAACCTCCAACAGGGAGATGAGGGGCAGTCGACACCATGGGACAAGGCTACTCCCTCACAACCCTGTCCGCGGGGTCGGCGGGGATCGATGTGCCTGAATTATCGGACCTGGTGTATGAGAAGTCGATGGGGGGTGGTAGGTTCATGAAAAGTATTCGCGCAAGGCAACCAAATGGTCTGGTGTTTATCAAGATTATCATGAAACCGTTCCCGACCATGGAACTGGAGCCATATATCAAGAACATCATGAGTATGTTCGGATTCTTTTTCTTATTATTTCAAGTTTCTAATGTCCATGTACACTTCAGGGGAACGAAAGTTGTTATCGGATGTGCCAAATGCGCTAAGCTACCAGAGGATTCTTGAGACTGCCACGAGTGGATACCTTGTGCGCCAGTACATCCACAGCTCTCTCTATGATCGAATGAGGTATGTCTGTTACCGCTGTTGCCAGCGAACGAAGCCTGATAAAGATATAGCACACGGCCTTTTCTAGAACACATTGAGAAAAAGTGGATTGCCTTCCAGCTACTGTGTGCTCTTCGAGATTGCCATTCACTAGATGTTTACCATGGTGATATCAAAACTGAAAACGTTTTGGTCACAGCCTGGAACTGGCTGTATCTTTCTGATTTCTCATCATCTTTCAAACCCACATTCCTCCCCGAGGATAACCCGGCAGATTTCTCTTTCTTCTTCGACATCTCCGGGAGACGAACCTGTTACTTAGCCCCCGAGCGGTTCTCTGTTGCAGGGGAAGAGCCCAGTGAAAGTGGCGTCAACTGGGCAATGGATATCTTCAGTGCTGGATGTGTCATTGCGGAGCTCTTCCTTGAATCGCCGATCTTCAACCTGAGTCAAATGTACAAGTATCGCAAAGGGGAATACAGCCCAGAACACAGTCAACTAGCAAAAATCGATGATCCAGACATTCGAGAGTTGATCCTACATATGATCCAACTTGAGCCAGAGTCTCGGTACTCGGCAGAAGAATATCTGAATTTCTGGAAGGGCAAAGCCTTTCCGGAATACTTCTACAGTTTTCTCCACCAATACATGTCCCTCATGACCGATCCTTCTTCCGGGCGAACAGATGTGGATCCGGAATCAGCCAACCGAGGGGAGGCCGACGAACGGATTGAGCGAATTTACGTAGACTTCGATAAAATATCTTACTTCCTCGGTTCCAATAACCGGGGCATTGGGGCTCTATCTAATGTCCCAGTCACCAAATTGACAGGAAACACTCTCCCTGTGAGGCTTGATCTACCAAACGGTGAAAGCCAAATTTCAGCGCCCCAGTCACAGCCAGATGAGGGTGCTCTGATTTTCCTCACACTTGTGGTATCCAACTTGCGAAATACAGCCAAGGCATCGGCTCGGATCAAGGCCTGCGATATCCTTCTTGCATTTGCGGAAAGGCTGTCTGATGAAGCTAAATTGGATCGCATTCTTCCATATATCATGGTCTTATTGACTGATCGGACCGATACTGTCAAGGTCGCTGCGATCCGCACCTTAACCCAATTACTGAAAATGGTCCAGGTGGTTTCCCCAGTCAATGCCTATCTGTTCTCTGAATACATATTCCCAAGGCTTCAGCCATTCGTTGCTACCTCCAGCAGCAAGTCAAGTGTCATGGTGCGTGCGGCATATGCTTCATGCATTGCGTCTTTGGCTCAGTCATCCTTGAGGTTTTTGGACATGATCCAAGCATTGCGTTCCGATACCCGTCTAGCTGCGTTGATCCCGGTCGGCTTTGAGCCCCGATGGGCTGAAGATGCGACATATCACAATCTTTATGACGTGGCTCGGGTCGATCTTCTAGAATACTTCGAGGTTCACACAAAGATGCTGTTGACAGACACGGATTCATCAGTTCGGCGGGCCTTTCTGGGCTCTGTGTCCAGCCTCTGTGTCTTTTTTGGCAATCTCAGAGCAAACGAGGTTGTCCTCAGCCATTTGAATACTTACTTGAATGATCCAGACTGGATTTTGAAATGCGCCTTTTTCGAGGCTGTCATTGGCGTCGCCGCCTATGTGGGGAGCCTGAATCTCGAGCTTTACATATTGCCGTTAATGGTTCAGTCCATGACTGAACCTGAGGAATTCGTTGTTGAAAGAGTGATTCGATCTCTGGCAGCTATGGCTGACCTGGGCTTGTTTCAACGATCAACAACGTGGGATCTGCTGCACACGACTGTTGGATTTTTAGGGCATCCAAATATCTGGATTCGGGAGGCAGCAGTCAAGTTCGTGGTTAATTCCGCCAAGTTTTTATCAATAGCGGATGTTCATTCAATCCTGACACCCATTATCCGGCCGTTCCTCAAGATCAAAATTATTGCGTTTTCGGATACCCAAATGCTCGATGCACTCAAGCGGCCAATGTCAAGAAGTGTATACGAAATGGCCTTCCTCTGGGCGTCCAAATCAGATAAAGGTGTTTTCTGGAAGTCGCCAAGTCGCGATGGTATGTTCAGCTTGTCCGAGCCTGGATCATTCAGTCCTCGCGTGGGTCAACGGAATCCTTCCTTTAATATGGCTTCTCAATCAAAGAATGACGAGGACGAACAATGGCTTGGTCGCTTGCGAAACTTTGGGATGGGGCCCGAGGACGAATTTAAGCTTCTTGCACTCAAAGACTACATTTGGAGGGTCTCATTGCGGCAATCGAGAGAAACCGATGTCCATTCAACTCCGCCCTTGAACGATATTGTCAGTTTGACACAACATGGAATCAAGCCCCAGACTGTGTTCTTTGATAAGGAAATTAAAGATCAGTCGCGAGCAATTTCCTTGGACGTAAACGATGGCAACGTCGAAGATCCAAGACCGAGAACGATTGCAGATGCTTTGCTTGATGCTTCTACAACCATTGAGCGAATGCCCAGTGCTCAGCGCAAGCACTTGCGGTCGAAAAGCCAACTCTCGAAAGAGACAAGACGTACCTCGCATGTTCCTATCTTGGACGGAAATGACACTTCCTCATTGTCGTCGTCTCCAGTGGCGTCGTCGCCGGCCGGAGGACCTTCGTCTCGTCCATTGTCCCCTCGGAACCTTGATAATGACCAAAAGCTTTCCAGTCGCCGGCCGAGCCCTGGACAAGATGGCTCATTGCCATCAACTAACGCAGACACCCGCAGTCTATCCGATCGTGTACATAAAAAGTCTAGCGCGATGAGTTTGTTGGGTCGCAAAGACACCACCAAAGCCTACGCTGAAACGGGAACAAGCTCCGCGAACGCCTTTGGAAAGGTAGACGCACCGGTCCAAAGAGGAGGCACACCCCGACCATTGACACCATTGCTCTCAACCGAGCACAAAACAACCCAAGTAATTTCGCAGAAATACCGAGCGCACCACTCGTATGGGGGCAATGACCCGGCGGTTCTGCGACTGCTAGATAACGTCTTCGAGGAAAACTACCCGACGGACCTATTTGACCTAGGGCCATATGTCAAAGAAGTCGACTCCCGCCAACCGATACGCAGCGCCACTGATCAGGAGCCAAGTAAGATCTGGAAGCCTGAAGGAAATCTGGTCGCGACTTTTGGCGAACACAGCGCCCCAATCAATCGTGTCGTGGTAGCACCAGATCACTCCTTCTTTGCTACCGCATCCGATGATAGCACGGTGAAGATTTGGGATACAACTCGTCTTGAAAGGAACTTGACCCCTCGATCCCGTCAAACTCACCGTCATGCAACAGGCTCGCGTGTGAAGGCTTTAACCTTTGTTGAGAATACCTATACTTTCGTCAGCGCAGCCACCGATGGCAGCATTCATGCGGTTCGAGTCGACTATCAGAAAGTCAGTCAGACGGCCGTCCGATATGGCAAGCTTCAAATTGTTCGTGAATATCAGCTTCCCATAGCTGGAGACGGATCACCCGAATACGCGGTCTGGATGGAGCACTTCCGTGACGAAGGGCAATCCACCTTGATTATTGCGACCAACACTTGTCGCATCATTGCGTTGGACATGAAAACCATGCTGCCGATCTACACCCTGGAGAATCCAGTTCACCATGGAACTCTAACTACATTCTGTTGCGACCGCAGACACCACTGGCTACTGGTCGGCACAACTCATGGGATCCTCGACCTGTGGGATCTTCGATTCCGCGTACGGTTGAAGGCATGGGGTCTTCCAGGCTGGGGTGCCATCAACCGGATCCAGCTACATCCCGTCAAGGCCCGTGGACGCTGGGTTTGTGTATCCACCAGCGGCAGCCACGGCAATGAAATCACAGTGTGGGATATCGAGAAGTTCCGCTGTCGCGAGGTTTACCGAGCGACCCCACTGGGCGTTGGCAACAATGGCTCCAATGGCACTCACCATACTTCCCGCGCCCCTCATGCCTATCCGACCCCTGTCGTTCCGAGTGATTACGAAGCGTGGCGTGTGGATGGCGACAGGCCAGAAGGGATGCTGAGTCGCTTTGCAGCAAACGGCCCGGAACCGGGTACCCCATCTTCCA